CTAATCCCATAAAACCCTAATTTCTAGTCCTTTAACCCACCAAAAGAGCTTGTGAACAGCTTTGTCTAGGCTGTCCTATGTCAATTTGTTTTTATACATTCTCATCTTTTCTCCTCTTTTATTCTCTCTTTATTGACAGGAAAAGCAACAGCAACAAGTTGCTGAAGCAAAGAACTCTGCTCCAGCTCAGACTCCTGCTCAAGTAACTTTAAGAATGCTGACTAGAAAGGTTCTTTGAGATTACTGTCAAGATTTTTTATTTATTTAATTTTTTTTTCCAATTGAGATGCAAGAGCTGTGCCTTCTTGTTTTAACAATTCAACTGCTACAATTATTGTATTAAAACCAAAATTAGTTTTGGATATGAAATTAAAATTAAATCAAAGGATTTTTTTTCGAATTATTATAGAGGTTTGAATAATTGACTAGTCTAAATTAAAAATTTCTTCAATTTCTTTCTTCCAGCTTATATAAAAGCACCATGATCATGCTTAAATTCTTTTGAAGAGAGCTTTACCTTTAGATTTGAAGAGCTTTATTGAAGAGAATGAGTACAGTAGTTCCAACTTCCATGAAAAGCTTTGCATTTTGCATGATAACCCTTGCATCCCCTCTACAGGACTGGTGCCCTGAAATTCCCTTGATAGCTGTGGGATCTGTTATGCTGTTCTTAAAATCATGACATTAGGTGGTCCGGGGGTTGTTAAAGCAATTGTATAATTGTTACAACTTCTGAGTTTTCATCCTTAGGCAAAGACGAGGAAAACCATTTCATAGGTCCTACAGGATGAAATCTAAACTAAGATTTAGTGGTAATCCTCATCAAGGGTCTGACATCATATTTGTATTATCTGTTTTTATAAGATAAAATCCTTAATTTTTTCTAAATAAAACAATGTTGGAAGAAAAATTCTTTTTCAGTGGCCTTGGTTGCAACAGAATTTTCTTGGTCAGTCTGATTTTCTACTTCATGATAAGAATTTTTTTATGAAACTTTTAGAGTGATGTTAAAAAGATGACAAGAAAGGGTCATCGAATATGGAGAGAATCTAGGAAAAAAGGTCTTTATTTGATTTACGATTGGTTGAGGTACTTTGCATTATTGTTTGGTTTATGGTAACTTTTGTTGTTGTCATATTCTCTGTTTCTTTTAGGTTTGGTTTGATTTTAAGGATTAGGGTGTACTAATGCTTTCTGTTTTCTGGTCTTGGGGTGGACGATAGTTTGTTGGAACTTGGGTATCCTTGTTTGTCTGTAGTTAAGTCCAAGAGTTTTTGGTTTTTTACTCTTAGCTCTGATTGGAAACCTGGGTCTTTGTAGGACATGATTTCTAATTTTCAATTCATCTCAGGACTAGAATAGAATAGAAATCTTTATACATTTAAGTACTCTGGTTCAACTTTCAATTAATGTTGAACGCTCAAACTTTTCAGATTTTTACAATGATTGTGGTTTTGTTCTTATTGTGATTGTTTGATGCCTTAACAATGCTTGATATGAAACCTTGAGGTCCCTTTGTCAAGCTTGTATCTTTATATTCTCTGTCCTTTAGCGAGACCATTATGGCTGTATCTGCCAGCATCTACTAAACATGGCAATGTACATAAAATTCAGACAGACTAAATAAAGCAGGGTGGCCTTGTGTGCATTTGTTCACATTTGTGTGCATGTGTGCTAGCTTTGTGGTTTGTAGTTTATAGGTCCATGTAGGTGTGCGTGAATGTCAATGTGCTGTTTTATATGCATAATGCGGATTCTATTAACCATAATTGCTTACTTTATCCCATTACGTGATGGATATCAATATGCTTCTGTACAGAGACTCAGCTCAAAAATCAACCAAGATGCTTTGGAGAAATTGTTTAATGACTCTGTAAGTTTATGCAATCTGACTGGCTTTTAAATCTTAAATATTATTATCTGTTCTTTGCTTCTTTTTTTTTTTTTTTTGGCATAAATTCAGTCAATGGTTTCTCTCTTGATATAAAGAGCCCCCTCTGCACTCCCCAAAAAAAAGGAAAAATGAAACTTTGTTTATTCTTCTTATTAATCACAACATGAAATTGCTATTTTCATTTCCCGGACCACCAGACTAGTCACTACAGATTAGGCTCTTCTAAATTGCATCTAATAGGATTTGAACCTATACCAAAGGTTTAGAAGACCTCTGTCCTATCCATTAGACAGTGTACGCTTCTTTGTTAAATGAGATACTTGTGTTTAAGGCAGATTACAGCTTTGATATTTAACACCTTGGTTGAGAGAGTGTTTGTTAGAATTGTCAAATCCATTAACTTTTAAGAAAAATGTGTAACATAGCAAAAAACTTGTATTTACTATTTTGTGAAATTTAATCAGAATCACACTACTAAATACCATGTGCTTATCTCATAATTTGTTTCTAGAAGTAACATGATTAAGATAATTTTGTTGATCCTCATGAATGACAAGTGTTCTTTTCTGGTTGAATCTGTAAATTCTGTAATTTGTCACTTTAGGAATCATGACTTTAATGTGGGTGCCTAGAAAAACATCAGAATCGAGGTGAAACAAGTGTGGTAGAGAGAGGAACTGGTTCTATGTTTTTTTTCCATTGGGTTTGGTAAATCCTTCCAATCAAAAGATTTAGTAGCATTCAATACTAGATTATCTGGTACCATAAACGAGTTGAAGTTTTTTTTTTCTCCCTATTATTTAGTTTATAACTTTAGCTCAACATATAGTAAAGCTGTTTACGAGTTATTGTTTTTATACAACGGAAGTAATAAGCAAAAAATTTCTGCACTGCTAAAGTAATAAGCATACAGACCCTTGTCAAACTGATACTGTTTTTCATACAACGTTAGATGCTCAGCAATCATGGAGGTTTGACCCCAAATCAAGGTTAATAATTGGTTGGTACCAGCTCAGTGAACCCCTTGTTGGTATAAAACCACTATTGTTCTGGTTCTAAAATAGCAACTGATATACAATGTCTACCTTGTTTACGAGCTTTATCCTTGAACTTTCATTCAATTTGTTTCATCATGCATGTTTCATGTCCACAAGTTAGGCAGTCTCTTAAGATGCTTTAAAACCCTACTCCCTCCATCTCAAAATAACTGCATTTTTACAAAAAAATATATCCCAAATTAATTTTTTTTAATATACTAATAACTTTTTCCCTATTGTAATCTTATTATTATCTCTTAACTTTAATTATCCAGTTTATCACCGAAACTCTCTTTTATATATATTTTTTGTTCTCGAAGGTAATATAGGTGAAAATATAAATTTTATACAAATTCTTAGTTGTATATATTATTTTGAGATGAAATAACTGTTAGTAGGTGTACCAGAATCTCTACACACCTCTGATTTTTAGTTTCTAGTCACTTAGTTGTAAATTTTCCAGCTTTACCAGAGAGGCAGCACATAATTACCCATTGCTACCCTGCAAGAGCCCAAAATTATCTGTTTGTCTATCCCTCAGTTCATTATAATCATATGAATTTGTTGAAGTTTCTCATCACTTGGTTGTTTGTAAACTTTTTGTTTTGTAAAGTTCAGTATTTAATTTGCTTATGGTGCCCTTTTTTTCTCTCCTTTCAGGAAGCTGCAGAGGAATCCAAGAAGCAGCGAACTGGAATGCATCCTGACATGGACAATCAGGATACTGAAGCTAAACACCAAACCGATAACCGGGGACCTGAAGATGGCTGCAACAATGATGATGGGGAATATGAGACATACGGTAATGATCTCGATTTTACCAACGTGGATGAAGCTTATGATTAGAACGATGATGATTATGGTTATGATGGATTCTGAATTTTATGGATTACCGTTTTATCTTAATGGTTGTAGTGACCTCCATTGCCTACTTGGTTGTTCCTTATTAGAAAGATCAATGTTGGTAGTTTTCAAGTGGAGTATGTTGTTGTTACTCATAAAATGCTCAACACCAGTTTTTTGTGCACGTGAGATTTTTCATGCCTGATTGGCTGATTCTAATTTGCCATTTTCTTTGCTCCTACCTATTAATCCTGTAGATCGAGGGTCTGTTTGGGATTTGCCTTCAGAGCGTATCCGACCAACAATATGAAAATATTAATTTGTTATAATTAAAATAATTTTCATTAGTACGTATTTTATTTGGAGTTTAGTATTTTATTAACTAGACTTAAAAAAATGAAGTGAAAAAACAGAACACCGTACCATTTCGATAACAGTAGTTGTACCTAGGATGAAAATGAGGAATGAAAATTTGAGATCATTAATAAATTATTATTATGGTATAAATTATATTATTAAATGATTTGATGTATATAATATTATAGATTTTAATAAAGTAAAAAGAGTTAATTATTAAATAATATAAAATTTAAAATTTATATTTAAACAATGTGATTTATATTTTATCATTAGTTTTAAAGTTTAATTTCAAAATTTTAGTTCGTTGTATTATAATTTTTTCAATAAAGTACCAGCAATCTTGCATGTAAGCTAAAGCTGAAATAATTTTCTAAAATGGTATCTACCCGCGTGAGTAGTTGTGATTTTTTATATTTTTCTCTATAGGATGGATGTATAGTTTGTATACACATAAGAATAAGGTATGTTAATCTCGATTCCTATTAAAAAATTGAAGTGCCAATCTGAAAAAAGTCATTTTTTTGTAAATAATTTTAAAATTAATTATTTACTTTAATTTATATAGATCATATATGTTAATTTTTAAAAATTAATGACTTGGGTCAAAACTAATTACTAACTTAATAACTCTTTTCATTATCTAATGTGGGATTCAAAATATTATAATCTCGGGACTCCTCTTTTATTTCTCAAGGTTACTTCTTCCATAAAATATCAAAAAATTAATAAAATGAAATAAATTTTAATTAAAATTTTTAACAATAAAATATAAATT